CTAGAATCCGGGTTTCGATACCCGTGGTGGGCAGAGCACAGATAGCCCATTGTGTAGCTTTGTGCTTAATTTCAAACAAACAAACAAACAAAGCACATACTCAGAATAATGGATAGACTTAGAGTAATCCTATATTAGCATAAGAAGGTAGAAAATGCGTGATATGCTTTATACGAAAATTTTCCTTCCTCTTCTGTTTCACACTTGTTCTCAGGCTGACAAATAATGTTAACTTTATGACAAATTGAATTTACAAATTCGGGTTGATTAAAGTGTGCTATAACTTTTCTTCTTCTGGTAAACACTTACATGGACAAACTTTAACGAAGAAAAACGATTCAAAAAATCAAAAACCATTTAACATAGAGATTGTTATTATTTTAGCACAAAGCTATCTGCCTTCTGTCTACTATGTAGAACGAACTCCGGTTTTTAACTCTGAAGAAAATTACATATGAAATGCTTTTACGACGAAAATACACTGTTAATAAAGAATCCTTTAACAAACATATAGTAATAAATGTATCATGACAAATCATAAAACAATTCAATAATTGATTAAATACCACGAAATATAACATGCGCATATGCAGGGGGTGTTCGAGAGGATTCGGCCGAACCCCCTATTTTTGTGATGTAAAATAATTATGTTTATATAGTTATAGCGCACTTCCTTACGGTATTTAACGTTTTCTACACAGTCTACATTCTTTTTATGAAGCATTAGCATTTTTTGGCTTGAAATAGTCGCATTGCCCTCAGGCCATCTTTTAATTTCACAAATTGTACTTTGAAAATGTATAAAGACTGATGTAAATTCATTTTATTCTGCTTTAGAATCCCCTTTCAAACATTCTGAGTACGGGCCTGCAGAATATCCTTTGTTTGTTTTGAATTTCGCGCAAAGCCACACGAGGGCTATCTGCGCTAGCCGTTCCTAATTTAGCAGTGTAAGACTAGAGGGAAGGCAGCTAGTCATCACCACCTACCGCCAACTCTTGGCTTACTCTTTTACCAACAAATAGTGGGATTGACCGTTACATTATAACGGCTGAAAGGGCGAGTATGTTTGGTGTAACGGGGATTCGAATTCGCGACCCGCAGATTGCGAGTCGAGTGCCCTAACCACCTGGCCATGCCGGGCCAGAATATCCTTTATAAATATGGAACATAGAATAATATGAATGTGTAAAATAAACCATTGATAAACAAACAAGAAATCATATTATTGAACAAGACTCCCTTTTTTAAAGTAATTATTACATAGTAAGATTCAAATATGAATCAAAACAAAGAAAAACAATATACATATTAACTCAGGCCCTTCAAAACAAAATTACAGTAAAACATAGCAAGGTATCCCAATACATAAAATAGAACAAAAATTAACCTTCAATAAAAAAAATTCAAAACAAAAAAATATAAAATAACTTTTTGGCATAAAAATACAATAATGACCCACAAAAACTACTAGATGTATCCTTAAAAACTAACTCTTACAAAACATAAAACTAAAATGAAAAAGAAATTCTGAAAGATCACTCAATATCAAAACAAGTAGTTATTTAGAAATCCATTAAAATATGCCCCCCAGTGGCACAGCGGAATGTCTGTGGACCCGTGGTAGGCTGAGCACAAATAGCCCATTGTGTAGCTTTGTGCTTAAATTTAAAACAATCAAACAATCCATTAAAATATCAGGTATTTTTAAAACCAGTATCTATGTTGAAGTCTTCTGGAAGATAATGAAATATTAATCCTTTCAGAGCTATCACCGTATAAGATATGGTGGTTAGGGAGGTGCTAACACTATGTAACATACGGATTTACTATTCCTGCCATATTTTGAGTTCGTATTGGCACTCAGGTGCGATAACTAATTTTCATATGTAGTCAGTGGCAATAATTCACCCATAAAAACAAAGCCAGCTCAGTTACCCCTAAAATACAATGGAGGGAGAGTCTAGCAGGTCACAAGGTCGCCGTGGACGAAAGCGATCGATGACATAAGCAAAGTTTTTGGGATGTGAGTGACACATCCGATGGGGATGAGCATGTTGAAGATCTATTAGGATCTTGTTAAGTGCGTGATGAGGACTTCAATATATCAGAATCGCACTGGCAAAGTCCAAGTGAAGAAAGTGATGACAGTACTGGTACAAAGTCATGGCTTCCTCTTCCACGACTTAGTGGAAGCCCAGTGTGGGTATGGTTAGCGGATAGATTTATGTCCTGGAATACAATAGAACAGTAGAATAAGTGAAGAGTCAATTGAGCTAAATAATTTCAAGATATTTTTTGATGAAATTTTGACGAACCACACTGTACTCGAAACAAACAGATATTATGAGTATTCTGCTGAAAAAATTAAGATGTCCACTGGTTCAAGAATGTGTAAGTCTTAGTGAACTTGCATATATATATTTCACCTGTAATGCTTATGCCACACATAAGGAGCCATGATCTGAAAGATTATTGGTCACTGGATCCGCTATTCTACACAAAAGTATTTGGCAAATACATAAGCAGAGACCGCTTTCAGTTGCTTTTGCAATTCCTTCATTTCGCAAACAATGAATATTAGAATTAGGAGGACAAACTGTTCAAGATTAAATATGGTTTTTCATATCTGAAAGAAAAATATACAATTGTGTTCAAGCCATTTCATAAACTAATAATTGACTAATCTTTGGTCTTGTTTAAGGTCGTTTAGAATTTCATCAGTATATTCCATCCAAAAAACATCGTTTTGGAATCCAACAGTTTGTGTTCCGATACACTTGGTGGGCAGAGCACAGATAGCCCTTTGTGTAGCTTTGTGCTTGACTACAAACAACAACAACAGTACGTAAGAAAATGCAAGAAATGGTACATGAAAATTTCTTTCATATGTTGGAGATCAGTTTACCAAATGCCTACAATTTGTACTTATTGGAAAGTGACAAAAAATGCGTTCTGAAAGGTTTTATACTTTCATTAGTACGACAAATCATGGAAAGTATGGTTCAAAGGAATCACATAAAAAATGCTTCGTGATGAAAAGGACCTTAAAACGCTTAACGTGGCTTAATGTACTTAAATTGAAAACTTTCGCGTACAGACTTTACGTAATTCAAGATACCCACATCCCAATACAAAAACAACTGAACATTTTCAGTAGAGAAAATAAGAAAAAAAAGTCTCGTTAAGTCATAAGTCACGCATATAACTTTCTTAGGAAAACGCATAACGTGGCTTAATGAGCTTGAATTGAAGACTTTTGTATACAAATTTTGCAAAATTCAAGGTAGTCACACCCCAATACCTCAGTAAAAGAATTGGATATTTTCGGTAAAGAAAACGATAAACAAATTCACGTTAAACCATACATATTGTTACGTCTCCGTTTGTTAATTAACTTTCCGTAACTTCGTTCCGACGAAACTTTAGCGACACAAGTCCTTACTTAATAAAACTGGCTTGTACTTACCGAATACAACTTTACGATACACTT